TGACATGACAATGTGTAGGAGGTACTAAAACGGCAAAGAATAAATAGCAGTCTGTAATCTCACAAAGCTGCATGAATGGGCATAAAATTGCCAGGGGCTTGGAGGCAGACTCAGGCCATTTCAGACAGTGGGAGGCAGTGTGGCCGTGCAGGTGAGGCACCAGCAAGCCTGGGCACAGGTGGGAACCTTGGCAGAGGGTCAGAATTTGAGAGGTCTAGGAAGGGAGGAAGGGGTGGTGTTAATAGATGAAGTTAGTTGGGTCTGGGAGTCAGGTCAACGTGAGGATCCAGCCAGGGGTTTCCTTGGCACCAGATTGTTCTGGCAGCAAGCAGTGGGGCCCTAGCCCTTGACCAGAGCTTCAGCAACGGGACCTGGTCCCGAGAGCACTGGTCAGAGTGAGGCAGGTCCTGGACATTCCTTTTTTGATGCAAATAAGATCTGCACATAGTAAAAATAAAATACTGCAGAGGTGCTTGTAATATAAAGCAGCAGTCTCCCACCTCAGTTCTCATCACTCCAATTACCCCTCCATAGGAGCAGCCACTTTTCATTATTTTCAGTCCTGTGGGAGCTAGCTGTGTATCACCAAGCAATAAGCTTCTCCCTATAACTTGATTAGTCAAAGTCAGACATTGTCTGTTGACCCCATGCTAAGAAATAGGAGAGTTTAGCTTCCTTACATGCTCCTCCTTCCACTTCCCAATTTTTGATAGTTATATTTTTATTTTTGTTTCTTTTTTGCTTAGTTTTATAACTTTAAATAATATACTTAAATCTCTGTTATTTTGTCAATTCTAGGAAACAACCCTTCAGTTTTTATTGTTGGTGTAGGAAAGTGAGATTCTCTGTCGTGTTTTAAGATGAATGTATTAGAGTCATACTTATTGTATGTGTCAAACTTTTTTACAAGGAGTGCTTTAGTTATCTTAAGGGAATCCCTAATTTTAAGAGAATCTGCAGAATCCTTTTATGTTTGCGTTTTGGAGCAATATCAGGGAAGCCATAATGCGTTGATTATTGGCAGGCGAGTGGGCGAAATCCCATGAAAACTGTAGTTTACAACTTTAAGCGAATGCAGTTTCACACACACACACTCAAAACTATTAAAAACGTTTTTGTGTTAAGGTTGAAAGTCAACAGTCTTTGTAACTTCAAAGAAAAACTCAATATTCTTGGGAATTTCTTTGCTCTTCTTATCAAGCACTTCGAAATTCTCTTTTATGATGACAAGATACACAATAAGTACAGAGTTAACTTAAAATTTATTACCACTGGTATATAAACATTTGCTAGCCTTTCCTTATCTGCCTAACAAATTTAATGGCTAGCTCACCTTTCAAGTTTTCTTGTTAAACAAACTGAAGCTTGGAACATTCAAGCCAGGCCTGAGTGAAGATCGTGGGGCTTATATTTTGTTTTCCACACTACTGTGACAAAAATATTAGTGCTTCTTCTCTTCCCTCTTTTCACTTTCTATATGGTTAGCTACAGCTTTACTATTACTTCATCAAGGCAGATAATATTTGTATTCTATTTCATAGCTATAGTTGCGTCCTCTGTGCTTTGTCTATAGATCAATCTTAGAAGTTAAAAGAACAATAAATATATACACTATTATAATTATGTAACTGTTGTTCATTGGAGAGCAAAGTTATGAGCTAGAGTTCCATTTCTTTGCTTCAATTCTGATGTGGTCCTTATGCCATTTAGGGGAGAATGTCCCTAAAATTGTGGCCAAATGGGTTAATTTTTCCTAATTTTATTAGTTGTTTAAAATCATGTCACATTTTAGCTTGCTTCATATTTAGACCTTGACTTTGTTGTTCACTTTTCCTGGAATTTCAATAACCTTTTTTTTTTTTCTCTTGTTGCTATAATATGCAGTCAGCATAACCTTAAAGTTATTCGGTTTCTTAATTGAACTGCCCATTGTGTTGAATCCTATTCCTCTCCAGAGGCATCCCTCTTGGGGGCCTCCATCTTTCTGCTTTAATCTCTCCTTGTTTCTCTGCTGTACAACTGTTATTTTGGGAGTTTATTCCATTCCTGAGTTATTACCACTGTTTTCTGAATCTCATGTTTTTCTCCTTCATGCTTTACATCCTCATTTTGCTGGAGTACATGCTTTAGTATCTTCCTCAGAAATGATATGTGGGAGGTAAATTTTCTGAGCCCTTGTTTGCTTAACGTTACTTTCACTTAATTGGTAATCTGGCTAAAATTCTAGTTTCAAAATAATTTTTGCTCAGAGTTTTAAAATCAGTGCTCCATTGTTGTCTGCCATTCAGTGTTACTGATAAGAAGTCTGACGCCAGTCTAATTTTCGTTCCTCTGTAAGTATTCAGTTTTTATCTTTGAAAATTTTTAGGATTTCTCCTGAAATTGCACAATGATGCATTTAAATATGGGCTTTTTCTCTTCTTTGTACTGTCTACTTTATAGGATAGTTCAACCTGAAGACTTGTGTCTTCTTCAGTTTGGAGACATTTATTTCTATTATTTATCTGATTATTTTCTTTTGTTCTCTTCTTCTCTCTTTTTGGACCTCTTGTTAGTTGGGTGATGTAACTCCAAGATTTCTCCTGTCCTTTGCTCAAATTTTCTACCGTTGTATCTTTCTGTTCTAAATTCTGGGATATTTACTTACCTTTATCTTTTAGATCTTCTTTTGCATTTTTAATTTTAGTGATCTTGTTTTTAATCTCCAAAATTTCATTCTTGTTCTTGGATTGTTTCGTTTTTCATAACATCTTGCTTTAGATAGAATATTCTTCTTGTATGTGTCTGGAACTACTAATTAGTGTTTTCTTCAAAAGTCCCTTCTGTGTCCTGATTTGTATGTTTCTTCCAGCCCAGGTTGTTCTATTTTTGTCATGCATGTGTTTATGTATTTGTTGCTGGTTTTCATCACACCCCTGGCGATCTGGGTTGCTGGCGTGGATTCCCTGCCACAGCGTGTACAGGTCTGTTTCCCTGATGGAGCTCTTCCTTCACGGGAAAGCTGACTGCTGTGCGTTTGTGAGCACGGCTGGTTCTTGAGGAGGCTTCACTTGGGGTGCAAATGTCCACACTAGCAGCCCTGGTTTTCCTTGGGCGGTTTATTCAGATCCTCTAGAGAAGCATTCCAGCACTCTCTTCTCCTCTCCTTTCATGCTGTATCATTTTCTATGTTCCAGACAATTGTGGAAACCTTTCATCTACTCAAGGCTCCCCCTCAGGATCCTCTTTGCCTGTAGGCGTGTGTCCCTGCATCCCCTTTACTCTCTCTTTTAGTAGGATCTTGGGAGGGTGGGGAACAAGAGGACAGAAAATGTGCTTAACATGCCATTTTAAAAACCATTTTCCCTCATTTCAAAATGATCACTGTAGAAAATTGAGGAAACATAGACAAGCAATAAAAAAAAAGATCTGTTTTTCCATCACCCAGAAATAACACTGCTAACATTTTAAAACATGTTCTAGTTCCTTTTTCCTTTTTCTATGCATCTATTTATCTCTTTAGGTTTTTTTTTTACAACAGTGGGATCATACCATATGTTCTGTTTTCTAATATGCCTCTGAAAATGAAACAATACCTTTGGAATATCTTTCCATGTCACAACACGTCCCTGACAGTATTGGAGACCTGGTATTTACTGACAGATGCATCATCACTTATTTAGCCAATCCCCTATTTTTAGACGTTAGGTTGTTTCTAATTTTCACTATTATAAACAAGTACTTATAAACACTTTTGGCTAAATCTTTACTTGCATCCTTGACTGGTGACTTAGGATAAAATTCTAGCAGTGGAATGGCCGGGTCAAAGTATATGCAGGACCCAGCCTTGGTCCGACATTCAAGGTACTCTCTGACATAGCCCCACTTTAACTTTCCAGTCTCAAACTTCCACCTCACTCCACTTCCTTCGAGCTCCCTCGAAGATCATAGCAGAGACGTTAAGAGCTTAATTTTCAGAGTCAGGCAGACCAGGATTGAATCCTAGCTTTGCCACTTACTAAATGAGTGACCTTAGGCTACTTTAATTAACCTCTTTGAGTACTAGTTTCCTTTTCTATAAAATGGGGGGGTAATAATTCTACTTTTTTGATGTGGTGGTTGTGAGGATTAAACAAGATGAAAAATGCACGGAAAACACTTAGCACAGGCCCTGTCAGGTTGAAAGTGTCATAAATCCATAATGATGGGGTTAGACCCATTCCCCTCCCTAGGCCTGTACAAATCTTCCTTCAAGGCCACATTCAGATGCACCCACCCCTCCGTGAGGCTTTGTGGTCCAGCCCTTGCAGAGCGCTTGAGGGCTGGACCCGCGTTGGATGCTCTGATCACGTGGTCTAGTTGCCTTCCTCTGTGTGCATGCGCGGACAGAGGCAACGTGCCCTCCTCAGCATCCCACACTGTCTTCCCCTTCGCCTCCCTATCACGACCAGTTACTTTTCACGAGTGTTCTTGGGGAGCAGAGGCGATGATGAAGAGGAGTTTGTGACTCAGTGTTCGTAGCATCAGCATTGTTCTTTGGAGTTTGTTTAGAGCCCTTTGGCAGCTCAGGAGCTTTGAAAATAGTCTCTGGCTCTGACTGTTGGCTGGAACCTGCCCCCGGGACACCTGAACACCCGTGTAGCCAGTGGGCTGCAGAAGCAGGAACTTTACTAAGGCTGAGCCTCTCCGGGGTGTTTCCCGCAAGAAGGCGGAGCTCAGCGTATGGCCTCCCGCGGGACCTTTGTGCTGCCGGCCTCCCTCACCCTCATTACTTTGCGCTGGGCCATAATATGCTTTTGTAGGCAGTAGGGCTTTCCTCCCGAGCATCACCCAACCCACAAAGGTCCCTTTCAGGCCCCGCGGATGCCTCCCCAGTTGCCAGGGGCGATTGAGAAGCGTGGTCTGCAGAGCTGCAGAGGGGAGGGCCTGACAGGGGTTAGCTTCCAGGAGAGGGTCCCTGGGCAGGGACGGTGACCCGCCAGGTTCGCAGCTCACCCCTTTCCCATTTGGGTGTCTTTCAGGAGTCATGGCCGGCTTCAACATGGGGGGCGACCTCAGGGAGCCTGCTGCCAGCATCCCCCTGGGCTCCCTAGCAGCTGTTGGCGTCTCGTAAGTTCCCCTCGTGGCAATCATCTGGAGAGAGGGGGGAAAACCCCCGGGCAGAAGAGGGAATTGCTCCCTTTGTTCTGAGAGTGCCCCAACTGTGACCAATCTATTTCATATTCCAATCCCCCTTTTAACACTCAGCCAGCTGGAAAATGCATGTCTGGTGCGTTCCTACGATTGCCTTTTCATACCTCCTGCCTGGGAATGGGCGAGGAGGAGTGTCATTACCCAGATTGAATCCTTTTTTTTCCTTTCTCCTCAGCCTCCCGCTCCTCTCCCTCCCCCGCCCCCATTTTGAACTTGAGGGTTTTTTTAACCGTTGAGTTTCCAGGATCATTGGAGGGAGCGGAAAGATAAAGAGTATTGCACTCAGACAGATTACGATTTGGATCCCAGCTCTGCCACCCATTGGCTGTGTAACTTTGGACAATTTACTTAGCTCTCTGAGCCTCCTTTTTCTTTACTGTAAAATGAGCAGAGTGAGAATATGTGGGCCTCCTAGATTGTGGAGGACACACTGTGTGTAAGGCACATAGTAGGAGCTCAGAGACTGGCTCCTCTTTCCCCCAGCTAGCCTCCCTTGCACCCCCTCAGGCTGTCAATCTTCTTGGGTTTCAGTTCACACTGTGCTGCCCTCGCCAGCAGGCTGACTGGCCGTGGGTCTGTTTCTGACCTTCTAGAATCTTCTGTTTTTCTCCTTGCGCCATGGGAAGAAGCTTGCCTGCCTTCATTGGGTGATTGGGTGGGTGTAAAAGGCAATGAGATCGCAGACATGACAATGACTTGAGAGGGTCAAAGGGCCTGTATTATTTTACTTGTGATATTTCAAAAATATTAATGTTATCTATTTCACAAATGCCGAATTTGCTCTTGGCTTGCTGTGATGGCACCGTTGCCTCTAGCCAGGCACACAGCACCAGCCTGTTTTATGCTAAATAAGGCAATCCCATTGGGAAGAAAATGAACCCAGCAGAGAGAGAGAGCTGGGTGCTGGGAAGGACAGAAAGCAAAGAATCCCATGTCGATTTTGGTCGCAGCTGGGACGTCCTGGGAGGAGCCTTTGGCTCAGCCTCCCGCTGCCCAGATGGGAATGAGGCCACTGGGGTCATGTGACCTGTTCAAGGTCACAGGGCATCTGGGGGTAGAGCCAGGTCACTGCTGGCCTTTCACACTTGGCTTGGCTCTCTGTCATCTGGAATCCAGGGAACAGCAAGACTGAGAGGCCTGAAAGATCATCAACTTGTTCTTCAGCTGCAGGACGATGGGGTGTGGGGCTGCAGGTCAACCTTGCCTGAATCCCAGCATCCTAGAGTCCAGCTGGACCTCCCTCTCCCCTACCCTGGACACCCTTTGTGTGTTTTTCTTCTTTGTAGAAAGAGACAAAACAATGATACTTTTTGGGTTTTTGGCAAGAAATATGCTAAGGAGAAATAGTACTGAAAGCACCCCCAGGTGAGCTGGGGAGGCTTCATAACTGGCTTTTCTCTTTCTTTTTCTTTTTTTTTATTTTTTGGTGAGGAAGATTGGCCCTGAGCTAACATCTGTGCCAATCTTCCTCTATTTTGTATGTGGGATGCTGCCACAGCTCAGCTTGATGAACGGTGTATGGGTCTGCGCCCAGGATCCGAACGTGCAAACCCTGGGCTGCCAAAGCAGAGCCTGTGAACTTAACCACTACACCACTGGGCTGGTCCCATTTTCTCTTTCCTTTTGAGGCAGGTCCCCGTGGGAACCCAAAGGCTGAGTGGGGTGGGTTGGAGTGGGGTTGGCCGAGGTGGGGGGCAGCTCTGCCCCACTCTTGGGTTTTCTGCAGGTGGTTTCTGTACATCGTCTTTGTCTTTCTGCTCGGCGCCATCTGCACCCGAGAGGCCCTTCGCTATGACTTCCTGATAGCCGAAAAGGTGGGTGAGTTCTGCACTGCCCGAAGGGCTCAGGCTGCTGGGGTTGCCCCCCCTTGCAGTCCTGCCTGGGAATCCGTATTGCCTTGGGCCCAGGACTGAGGTACAGGGGGACAAAAACATGGAAGACGTACAGGTTCTTATGGATCCCTAGAAACAGGTGACAACACCTGCAAAAGCACATGCTCATAGCTGACTAATGGGGACACAACTGTCTCTTCGTTTCAATAATCAGAACAGAAACAGAATCTGTTTGCCCAAAATCCCCAGCTCAGCCAGCCCTTTATTTTTGCCAGGACCCTCACCTTCTACCACGAGCAGAAAGAACTGCTCCCAAGAAACAGGTAAGAAGGAGACTGATGGCCAGAAAGGAGGGCAGCAAGATGGAGGGAGACGGAGGAAGCCCAGCGCCAGGGTGAGGGCCTGGGGGAGGCAGGGCAGGAGGCCCTTGCCCTCAGAGGCCTCTTACCCCTCGGCTTTCCCCATGTGGTGGGCTGGGTTGGTTTGGCTGTAACATCTTTGTTTCTAGAGCTGGACACTCTGCCCAGAGAAGATTAGTGAATTCCTCACGTTCCACAGCCGCCCTTTCGCAGGCTGGAGGTCATGGGACAGTCAAGGACACTCATTTGGCATCTCTAGAACCCAGGAGAGCAAGATTTCCAGACGCTTTTCTGGAAATCCCTAAAAACTCCTACTTTCCCTTAAGTTCGTGGAGGAAAAGCGGACACTGAGATTCCTGTCATTTATCAGAGAAATGTAGTGGTCCGATTAACTCCTGAGTATCCTTGCTCGTATTTTAGGAAAAACTACCCTTTTTCCTTGGGGCGAGGTTTTGCAAAACAGCTTTGCTGATCTTCCTGGAGGGCGACCCGGGGCAGGAAACCTGAACTTACGTTTCAGAGCTCCGTTTGGGCCTGGTTTTCACGTTAGCACAGGTTTCTTTCTGAGGCATGTAGATGCCCTTGTAAAGGTGATATTTGTTTTCCGGGGTCTTGACCTTACCAGGGAAGCAGGTTTTGAAAGAGGGAGCAGTGCAGGCAGTGAGAACACTGACATCCGTCTTCCAGGGCCCAAGGTCTTAGACTCCCAGCGAGCAAGCCTGCCCTCAGGGGAGGAATCTCTGGCCCGCATTCCTACCTCCGTGCTTGCTTCCCTCTCGAGTTTCTTCTCCAGGGCCCTCTTCTCTGGTTGTGGAAGGAAAAACTTGGCTGCATTGGAGGAATTAAAGGCCTCAGGGAGCAGCTGATCCTTTGACCAGACGCAGCTACCTGCTGCTTTCTGCAACTTGCCAGGGGCTAGCCAGCTCTGCCTGCTTCCAGGGCTGGTTCGTTTCTAGTGGATTCCCTCACAGAGGTCTTTTCAGCCATTCCAGACTCTGCCTCTGATCAGGATGGAACGAGGCATATTATGCCCTGGGCTGGGGCTCCTCTCTCCCCTCCTTCTCCTGCTTTGCGGGGAAGCTAAGAATGGGTATGAGGGAGGGCAGACCGCCTGTGTCCAAGGAAGGCCACGGCAGCAAGAGAGCAAAACCATCTCCAGGGACAGCACAGGAGAGCCATCGTGGGTGGAAATTCCACCGCTCATAATAGACATGTGAACTGGGGGAAGTTGGTTTGGAATGCCACCTGTCCCAGATGGTGACACAGGTAGGCAAGCACTTAGCCAGTGGGGGGCACCTGCTAAACCAGGCTTGGCAATAATATGTTGGAATGTCATTATGCACATACCAGGTTAAGAGGCGGAGAGTTAGTTTTTGGAGGAGATAAGAGACTGTTTCCTGGGACAGGCAGTTGTAAAGACTGTAAAGAAAGAAAAGATACTGTTCTGGGTTCTCAGTAGCAAACTGGGGCGGGCACAGCAAGTAAGTGAACAGTGATGGAACCAACTGGGGCGACTCTAAAATAGCAGCGCCTCGGTGTGCTGCTGCCCCCCCTTTGTCCCCCCCCACCTCCCCACTGTCCCCCCCACAATGGGGACCATGCAGGATTTTCTCCACAAAGCCTTGACCCTTGGCTTTTCTCCTTTCTTGCTCTCTGGTGTCCCTTCTTGGGGCTGACTCGGCTGAAGTAGCAGGCCCTATACTCAGGCAGTAAGTTGAGCCACAAACAATTTTACTAACAGTGCCTGGAGAATGGGAGGGTGCCACGGATGGAGCATGGAAGGTACAAGGGCGCAGTCTCCTTCCATGGTCACTCGACACAACGTACCACCCTGATGTGGTTTTAGTAAACTCTTCATGTCAGCTTCCTGTCTTAGCTATGGCGTACGTCTGAGCCAGCCCATCTCTGAGCTTTCCCGGCCCTGCGGAAGCAAGGCCTCTTCCAGCTGGTCTGGGTGCCCTGAGGGTCTTGCCTCCAGGCACAGACCAGGCCTGTCCTCCAGCATATTCCCCTTGTGCTGGTTCTCATGAAGCTTCTCGATCCATTTCTCTCTCTTTCTCTCCGGTGCTTTCTGCCAGAACAATTGCCTTCAATGGCTGCCGGTTGCCCTGGATTCTTTTCCACTGACCTGCAGCTGGTCAGTTCATCTGTTTCTTTCTGGATTTCCTGTATATTCTCTGATCTATTTCTTTTCTTTCTTTTTTTTTTTTTTAAGATTGGCACCTGAGCTAACAACTGTTGCCAATCTTTTTTTTTCTCTTCTTTTTCTTCTCCCCAAAGCCCTCCAGTACATAGTTGTATATTCTAGTTGTGAGTGCCTCTGGTTGTGCTATGTGGGACATCGCCTCAGCGTGGCCTGATGACCAGTGCTAGGTCTGTGCCCAGGATCTGAACCAGCAGAACCCTGGGCCGTGGAAGCGGAGCGCACGAACTTAACCACTCAGCCACGGGGCCACCCCCTCTGATCTATTTCTAATTATTTGGATTCCCAGCCCACAGTTTCCCTAAGAAGTTTCTTTTTTACTAATATTCGTAGCCTAGAGGAACTTTTTTCTGGCTTTCAGGTGTCAGTCTCAGAAATGTTATGCTTTCTCAAAGATCTGGAGTATGTTGTGGTGGCTCTGAGGTAATCTATGTAAAGCCCAATATCTGGCACATAGTAGGTGCTTATTAAGTTCTGACTCCCTTCCACACTCCTTATGGGGATTCCCTTACAGATAGAGATATTTATTTGAGAGACACATTTTTTTCCCTATGAATCCACCATGTTTAACTGAATAAGGAAAAACCTAAATAGTCAATCTCAAAATTATTCAGTTCTAGAAAAAGGAATTGTATAAAGAACAGGTGTTAGTAGGGGTAAAATTAAATAGATTGAATAATTGTTTCAAAATAAGCTTGAATACAGTCCAGGAAAAAAAAATGTTTATTATGCATCAAAAAGATCAAGTCCTTTAGGAGCCCTGGGGCTTGTTAACTAGCAAAATAAGAGCAAACTGAGTAGGAAAAGTACCCTAAAAACATCTTTGTTAAAAATGGGGTATCTCACAGAGTAAACTCTAGTTATTCTTAGAATTGACAATCTTGGTTTCACATGTTCAGGAGGGGCCTTGAAAGCCGCATACCACAGGCTGTGCATGGGAAGATGGGGGTGGGGCTTGGCTTGTGGCTGGTGAGTGAGCCTAGCCAGCTAGCTGCTCAGCATCCACCACCCGGCCCAGCCTGACTGTCCTTTCCTCTCCACCATGGACACAGCCCTGCATCTCAGGAAGTGAAGCCAACTTTGTTTCCTTATGGAAAATGGCTATCGCGTGAGAGGGAAGAGTTGACGAAACATTGAGATGTTGGTCAGTTTGTGGAATGACAGTATTAGAAAACTCTTATTGGTGGGACTATGATGTGGGAGAAAACTAGGGAAGTGTTGAGACATTGCTGTATTAATAAATTCGGGATTGGAAGGGTTTCAGGAGATAGTCCTCAGTAATGTCGAGGGACCGCAGGACATAGATAAGACAGAATGAGTACCTTGCAAATGGCTTTCAATTCAGACCTTCAGGCAGCCAGTGCATTGGTGGGATCCCTCAGTGAAGCTCCAGTGGGAGCTGGGATAAAACACGAGCAGAGAGGGAATTAAAGATTTTCATCAGGTACTAAACAAGAAATTAGGGTAGTTCACACTCCAGATAATATTTTGGAAAGATACAGGACTTTTGGTGATGACTCAAACAGGTGTATGACAGAAGGGCACCTTTGTTTTTTTCCTAAAGAATGGTTGACACACATCTGCTCAAATAAATTCTCACTTACACCTCCACTGGCAGTTAGCAAGTTTACGGTCCCAGTAGAGAAATATGATTAAATTCTGCAAAAGCTGGGAGCCAAGCTGTATACTTTACTATTGCACCTATAAAGGCGTGCCCTGTGCCAGCACTGAGCCAGGTATGTAACCTGCCCTTAGTAAATGCTCCCTACGTGGGTGGATAGATGACGGGGAGGAAGAGAGGGGATCCAGGTGGGAGAGAGAGAGAATGGAGTTTTTATAATTTATCCAGACATGAGAACCAACATTTCATTTATTTTTCAGAAAATTGACAGAGTAATAGATTTATATAAAAGAGTGGCAAGTGAACAGGCCGTTCTAAACACAATTGACAAACTGGACATGTCATTATCCCTGGGCAGTCTCCCCGCTGGCCCCCAGCCAGGGGTTCTGCAGGGGTCACGGGACTGTTGTGGGAAGGCTGGCCAAGGATGGAAGGCGTGGTATCATGGCCTCACGGTGCCAGAGACTCCTCAAGTTCCTGAGGTCAGTTCCAGCAGTAGAAGGATGTCAGACGGGGCAGTCTCATTCCCACTCCGAGTAAATGGACAGGCTTTAAATGAAAAACAGGTTTATTTAACTCCAATATAAGTAACCTTTGGGGTAAGAAGCAGTAACGTTTCTGCAAGGAGATACCATGCCTGACTGTCCTAGAGAATTCTCCGAGGGGAGAGCGCGGTGGAGACCGTGCACTGCGCCCAGGGGTTCTCCACCCTGACCGCACGTTAGAATCACCTGGAGGGCTTTTGAAGCGTCCACATGTCTGTGCCCCCCCTGTACTAATTAAAGCAGAATCTCTGGGGTTCTTCTTATGTATAACCAGAGTGGAGAGCTATTGAGTTAGATTTTCAAAAAGCTTTTGATACAGTTTCATCACAGAGTCTATTTTTCATTTAAACCAGTCAGCACAGGATGCATTTGGGAGAGAAGACAGAAACCAAGGTGGTGGATGATGAGTGATGGCATCTCAGAATGCATCAGGGATTAATAAGTGGGGACTGGCTTATCTAACAGTTTTGTAAGACATCCAGGGCACGAATTCCAGGGAAGTCATGAAGCTTCATGAATTCAGCTGGCACTTGCTGAGCCCTGATTGCCAGATTCTGTTAGTTGGGGGTGGGGTAGGGGGCAAGGTGCGTGAGACCTGGGAGCTTATGGTGCACTGGTGAGAAAAGCCATAAGTGAGATTAACCGTACCACAGGGTGGAAAATAACAAATGCCATCAGAGCACACAAATGAAGTGATGGGAAGCATGAGATGACATTAATTTCTTCTAATAATTAAATGGTAGGAAAAGTGGGGGTGGGATAGATTCAAGAAGCCCATGATGTTGAGGAAAAGCGACAGACGAGATTCACAGGGATAAGATGAGATAATGCATTTGGGGAAAAGTAATCCACACTGAATTAAGGACAAGGAGGCTCTGTAGTGGACCTTAGTGTTGTTCATCAAACCTCTGGCCTCTCTTACCATCTGGGTCTCATTCCACCTACGTGTGGTCTTGAAGGGATGAGCCCCATTTAATGTTATGGAAGCCCAGACTCACACTTGCCTGAGCCTTTGTGGCCCTGGTAGGGCATGTGGCCTAGGCTCGGCCCATCTGATGCCCCCAATATAATGAATGAAGCAAAGATAAAGAGATGGTGAGAATTCACCTGCAGGGCAGCAGGTTACTGGCAGCATCTTGATATTTTTGCAGCAGGGGCACTGTGATCAGACTTGAATTTAGAGAGGTCAATCTGGCAGAAGCTTGGGGATGATTCATTGTGGGCAGAGCTTAGAGACAGCATGCCAATTAGCATTGTTGCTGGCCAGTGGTTCTCAAAGTATAGTCCCCAGGTCATCAGCATCAGCACCACTTGGGCACTTCGTGGAAATCTAAGTTCTCAGGCTCTACCCGAGACGTACTGAATCAGAAACTCTGGGATGGACCCAGAAATCTGTGTTTTAACAAACCCTCCAGATGATTCTGATGCACATTCAATTTGAGAACCTCTGTGTAGTCCATACAAGATGTGATGATGGGCCAAACTGAAGTAGTGGCAGTGCAAATGAAGTGCAGTGGGGCTTCTAGAGATTGAATCTAGAAGGACTTATGATTAGATGGAGTGCCAGTGGGTGAGTGCCAAGGGAGCAGAAAGGGACAGAAGCAGATTCTGGCACTGGATAATGAGACTCCTTCCTTATATAGGTGTCCCTAGTGGGCTTCCTGTTCCTTTTGGGCTTATACATCTCATCCCTGGCCTCCTGTATGGGAGGCCTCTACGGAGCCCCCCGGATCCTGCAGTGCATTGCCCAGGAGAAAGTGATTCCTGCACTGGCCTGTCTGGGGCAAGGGGTGAGTGACCCTTTCTTTGAGAAATGTACATTTTCCACTAACCTGATTGTTGGCCAATAAATTGCTTCAGTCTTTCTGATTAGAACCACTGGTCAAGTTCTCCAGGAGAGAGAAGTAAGAATGCAGAAATCTTTCTCTCACCCCTGTCCTCTGGCTGCCTTAGACTCAGGTTGGTTGGACAAAGCATCTGTCAATGTCACCTGGGCCCTTTAGCACTGGGTTAGCTAACTGTCACGGTAGCATCTTGGACCCCGTGCACAGGGAAAGGGAGTGCCACATCCTTTCATAACAATAAATTCGGGATCCTCCAAGTTTAGCAGAGAAGAAAGACTCTTTAATAAGGAGAGGAGCTGGGCCTTGCAGCTCTGACTCTCTCCTCGAGATTCACCTTCCCTCTGGGGTCGCTTTAGGATGATTTCCCACACCTCTGGCCTCTGGGCTCCCTGTTGTTCATCATGGCCCAAACCCTGACTGACACAGTATTGCTTGGCTAAGTCATGGAATGATCAAATGAGACATACCTAAAACTGAGGGGATGACAAGAGAGAAATAAACAGAGAGAACCCCATCCCCAGCCTCCCTCTCGTTTGGGACCCCGTAGTTGCAAGTCATCTTTAATTCCTCTCTTTACCTTCCTCCACTTCTTATCCATCAGTCAGCATGGGCTGCATGGAAGCAATGACTATGGTCTCTAGTACCTTCCATGTGGTATGTGCCTTTTATTTTATTTTAATTTCATTTATTTTTTATAAGGCAATGTATGCACAGGGTTCAAAAATAGAAATGATATAAAAAGTATACCCTGAGGATTTTTACTCCTATCATATGTCTTTGTACTCTTTCCTCACCTGCACCCATGCTTTATCAGTAGTTGTTTTTATTAGTTTTTTAATGAACCCTTCTCTCCTCTATTTTTACACAAAGGTAAGTGTTCTATATACATTGTTCTATACCTTGCTTTTCTTCATTTAATATAGCTTGGAAATCTGTCTTTTCATATAAATATAGAGAGAATTTCCTCATCCTTTTTCCATCATATGGATATACCATAGTTTATTTAACAAGTTCCCTATAGATTGTGTCGTCTAGTAAACAGTGCTATGAAGAATAATCTTGTGTGTGTATAATTTTACACATGTGCAGATGTATCTACAGGATAATTTTCGTGAGTGGGTTGGCTGAGTCAAAGGGTAAATGCATCTTTAATTTTAATAGCTATTGCCAAAACGACTTCCATGGGATTTGCATCATTTTGTACTCTACTAGCAATGTGTTAGAGTTCCTGTTTCCCCACGGCCAGCACCACTCTTAGACTGAGGCCAAGAGACCCTACTCTATAGGACTGTTCTAGTCCTTGGGGTAAGAAGTTCATGAGGTCAAGGAGATGTGCCTGCTTGGATCCTGTGACCCCCTTCTAGATGGTCCAGGAATGCTGCATCCAGGAATTCCCTGCCCAGATGTCTCCCTAGTCCACATCCAGGGTCTGCAAGGGCCTCTTCCCTGGGCCTGTCCTCTCTAGGGTCAGGGTGTGGGCTGGGAGTCCACATGTGAGTGTAAGGCGCCCCAGGGTATAGTCTGGGAAGGGAAGGGAGCTGGGCTGTGAGCTGGAGGCTGTGCATGGCCATCCTTCAGTGAGGAGCTCTGAGGAGTGCAAGATTCTAAACTTAAATCTGGCCTTCCCCATCATCTTGAAGGTATCTTTGCCAAGGAAGGAGGATAGAAGATATTTGTTTAACAGTTAGCTTGGTTTATCATTGTAAATATTTAGAAATAATGCATGTGGGCTGCCATTTGCACCCTTGCCCTGAGCACCACAGTGTTAGCAATGTGTATGACCACAGTGTTAGCAATAAACTCGTCCACGATGTCAGCAGTGAGTTTGTCCATGGTGTTAGCAGTGGGCTTGTCCACGGTGTCAGCAGGGAGCTCTTCCTCAGTGTCAGCAGGGAGCTCGTCCTCAGTGTTAGCAGTGAGTTCATCCACAGCTCATTGTCAAATGTGAATTTTTGCCAATTGTGTAGTGAGAAACGACATCTTAGGATACTTGTGATTTGCATTACTCTTATTATGATGAAGTTGAATATCTTTTCCTCTAAGAGTTATTCATATATTTTTGCTGTGATTGTTGGGTTGTTTCTTTCAATATATGGAAGCTCTTTTTGTTGGTAAGGACATTAACTCTTTATGACATGTATTACAAATATTTTCTCTAGTTTGTCACTTACCTTTTAACCTTGGAAACTCTTTTTTCAAACCGTCTTTACATATGATTAGATTTCATTAGCATGTTTTCTTTTTTAAGAGAATATGCTTACAAAAATTCTTTTGAGATACATTCAACATACAGAAAAGGGCTTCACACCAATGCGAACCGTCTGAAGCATAACTATGAAGTGAATGTCCCTCTAGCCTCCACCCAAGAACACTGCCAGTCCCCAGACGCTGCCCTCCACACGCCCTCTCTGGTCAGAGCAATGTCCCTCTCAGTGTGGCAGCTGTAGCTACTGTCCTGACTTCTATGATAATAATTTGCTTGCTTTCTTCATGGCTTTACTGAGGAGTCAGCAAACCTTTTCTGAAAAGGGCCAAATAATAAATATTTTAGGTTTTGCAGGCCCTATGGTCTCTGTCACAACTATTTGTCTCTGCAGCTGTAGCTCAGAAGTAGCCACAGACAATACCTAATGGGATAGACATGGCTGTCTTCCAGGAAAACGTTATGTGCTCTGAAATTTGCATTTCATATAGTTTTCATGTGTCACAAAATATTACTCTTCGTTTGTTTTTTTTTCCCAACTGTTTAAACATGTAAACCGACTCTTAGCTCATGGGCATCCATAAACGGATGGTGGCCAGATTTGGCCCATGGGCCATGGTTTGCAGACCATGTTTACTTCCTACATATGCATCTCTAATCAAAATAGTTTAATTTTCCCTGATTTTTAACTTTATATAAATGTCACATGCTTCTTTCACTTAACATGATGTTTATGACATTCATCCACACTTTTGCCTGTAGCAGTAGCTTGTTTATTATCATTCCTATATAGAATTTCCTCATTTGCTACAATTTATTGATTCATTCTGCTGTTGATGGACACTTGGGTTGTTTCCAGTTTGGGACTATTACAGACAGTGCAGTGAAGATTCTTGTACCAGTATACTGGTGCACTCGTAGAGTTCTTCCGGACTATATACCCATTAATGGAACTGCTAAACTGTCAAGTGTGAACAGTCAGCCCTCAGTTGTCTGCAGGTTCCACATCCACAGATTCAACCAACCTGGGATCGGAAGGCCCACGGATGGTTGCATCTGTACTGACCATGTATGGACTTCTTTTCTTGTCATTATTTCCTAAACAATACAGTATAACAACTATTTACACAGCATTTACATTGTATTAGGTATTATAAGCGATGTAGAGATGATTTAAAGTATATGGAAAGATGTGCATAGTTTATATGCAAATACTGAGCCACTTTATATAAGGGACTTAAGTATCCGTGGGTACAGTATTCGCAGGGCTCCTGGAACCAATCTTCCATGGGTACCGAGGGATGACTGTATATATTCACCTCTGACATAACGCCAAACTCTTTTTCCAAAGTAGTTGTGCTAATTACAGTCCTATCAGCAGTGGACAAGCATTTCTGTTCCTCTATATTCTTGCCAATATTTGGTATTACCAGACATTTTAATTTTTGCTAATCTGGTGGGTGTTTAATGGTATCTCCTTATGATTTTAATTTGCATTTCTCTGATTACTTAATGAGGTTGGGCATCTTTTATGTAGTTAATAGGCATTCTTTTGCTCATTTTTTTAGTGGGTTGTCTGTCTCCTAATTATTTTGTAGGAATTCTTTGTGCATTCTGGGTTACCCTTTGACAGGTATATGTGTTGCAAATATCTTTTCCCATTCTTGGCTTGTCTTTTTATGGTATCTTTTGGTGACAGAAGTTCTCATTTGACTATTTTATCACTTTTCAACCTACCCTTATCAAAGTTCTGGCCTGGACTGCATTTCCTTCAACTTACTTAGGACCCTTCTGAGTTCTCTTTAGTTCTACAGATTTACTTTATTCTTTGTAGTTTTCTTGTTAGAATTTGCTAAACAACTGTAGCAAATGTACCCAAAAGTGTAATTCTCAAAAACAATAAAAGTGTATTTTTACTCCTTTTCTTTTTAAAAAATAATTTTACTCTTAAGTTCTAGGTGAGGCGTTTCAGGTCAATATGAGCTCTGATCCTCAGAGACTGAGACTGGTGATGACTTTGCTATCTTCATCCTGTAACTTCAAAGGTTGCTCTCTATTCCAGCCCTCAGTAAGCGGGAACACACCTGAAGGAACACATGTGGGAGGTTTACAGGTCAGATCTGGAAGTAGCTTCTATGGTTCCAGAGTGCTGGCAGTAAAGGAGGTGGGAGCAGTAGTTAAATCCTGTGTATCTCCTGAGGGCAGAGCTGACAATATTTGATGATGGAGAATGAGAGAATGGAAGAGGCATCAAGAATTTTGCTTGACTGAGCAACTGGAAGGACGAACTTGCAATTTTATGAGATGGTGACTGCAGAAGTAGTAGATTTGAGGGACAGGAGATTGGGGGGATCAGCAATTTGGTTTTGGACATAGTAGGTTTGAGATCCTATTGATGTCAACCAAAAATGTTGAGTAGACAGTTGAATATTTCCTTTTTTGTGTGTGAGGAAGATTGGTCCTGAGCTAACATCTGTGCCAGTCTGCCTGTGTTTTATGTGAGATGCCACCACAGCTTGGCCTGACAAGTGATCCTAGGTCCCTGACTGGTCATCTGCACCTGGGATCCAAACCTGTGAACCCCAGGCCTCCGAAGCGGAGCTCACAAACTTAACCACTATGCCTCCGACTGGCCCCAACAGTTGAATATTTAATTCTGGATTCAGGGGAATGTTTCAGGCTGGAGACTCAAATTTTGGAATTGAGAGCAAGAAGCTGGTATTTAAAGCCATGAGCCTGGTTGAGATCACCTAGGAAGGGAGCATAGATAGAGAAGAGAAGTGGTCTGAGGATGGAGCCCTGGGCTGCTTGAAATGTAGATTTCAGAGAAATGGAGGAGCCAGGAACGGAGACTAAGAAGGAGCAGTCAGTGACGGGGAGACAAATTAGGAGAAGCTAGACGAAGAAAGTCTTTCAAGGACCAGAGAGTGATCATCTGGGTCAAATGTAGTTCTTAGGTCAAGGAAGATGAGGACTGAGAAGTGACTGTTGTTTGTGGCCCAGGAACTCAGTGACTGTGATGAATAGGTTCTGTGGAGTGACAGAGTATATGAAGTTAGCACATTTTTCCACTCCTGTTCTCCTGAAGTTCACCATACCTACCTCCATTAATAACAGATATGTATAAATGCGTGTGTGTGAGCATGTGCATGTGTGTATGTTTAGTATCAAAATTCTCTCACCTCAGCCATCCATGATTCTGCTGTGTCTCCCAGGGTCTACCAGTCCCCTTAAGGTCATTTTTTCCATTATAGCCTGGGAAGAATCAACTTTGAACCTCTTTGATTTCCAAGGCTGGTGTTAAAACCCAACGAAAGACAAAATGAGAAGTATTTGGGAAGTCCGAGTTCTATAGTAATGCCCTACATTAATAGTTACTAATACAACTAATGCCTATGGTGTGTTGGGAGCCCACTGTGTGTCAGTGCCATGTCAAGCATTTTAGATGCACTAACCCTGATCTCACAATAACCCCATGAGTTGGATATTATCCCAAGTTTGTAGACAAACAGTTATTAACACACCAAGAATCACATGGGAGAAGTGGCTGAGCCATTATGAGTTGTGTTTCTATCATATGTGATTTTCTTCTGAAATTTCATAGTCCTGCTGTTATTTTTGTTTCTGCAGAAAGGGCCAAATAAAACACCTGTAGCTTCCATCTGCCTGACCAGCTTGGTGACCATGGCCTTTGTCCTTGTGGGTCAGGTGAATGTGCTGGCCCCCATCGTCACCATCAACTTCATGCTGACATACATCGCGGTGGACTACTCTTACTTCTCCCTGTCCATGGGTCCCTGCAGCCTCCCCCAGGTGCCTGAGTCAGGGCACAGGGAGGGCTCGGAAGCTCTCCACTGCTCTGAGCATCTGCTGTTGGCGAAGGCTCCCAGCTATGGCTCTGAGAGCACTGCCCAAAGCCTCTCTGAGGGCACTCTGCTAGAATTCACCAAAGACATGGACCAGCTCCTCCAGCTAACCAGGAAGCTTGAGAGTAGCCAGCTCAGGCAAGGAGAGAGTGATGTGACGCTGGAGAGTCAGAAGGGGAAACGCAAGAAGGCCACCAAGCAAACCCTACAAGATAGCTTCCTCTTGGACCTCAAGTGCCCGGCTTCCTTCCCTACTGAGGGCTCTGATGGATTGCCCACTGCCTCCTGGCAGGGACAGGAGTCCTCCTGGAACAAGCAGAGTACCGGAAGTGAAGGGGATTGGCCTGGGGGAGCCTGTGGAGAACAACTTGTCCCTGAGCCAAGTAGCCCGCTTAGGCCAAGTGGAGAAGGTGAGTGCTTCGGAATCACATGGGGGCCTCCTAATTTGGGGTGACTACTGGTTACCTCACCTACCCAGTTATCACAATCCTCTTTCAAGTCCTTAGCTGGTTCACTTTCTGGCTGGGTTTAAAATCCTTGTTAATTTTTTTTTTTTTTTAAAGATTTTATTATTTCCTTTTTCTCCCCAACACCCCCCGGTACATAGTTGTATATTCTTCGTTGTGGATTCTTCTAGTTGTGGTATGTGGGACGCTGCCTCAGCGTGGTTTGATGAGCAGTGCCATGTCCACGCCCAGGATTCGAACCAACGAAACACTGGGCCGCCTGCAGCGGAGCCCGCGAACTTAACCACTCGGCCACGGGGCCAGCCCCAGATTTTTATTTTTTTTTCCTTTTTCTCCCCAAAGCCCCCCAGTACATAGTTGTATATTCTCCATTGTGGGTCCTTCTAGTTGTGGCATGTGAGACGCTGCCTCAGCGTGGTTTGATGAGCAGTGCCATGTCCGCGCCCAGGATTCGAACCAACGAAACACTGGGCTGCCTGCAGTGGAGCGCGTGAACTTAACCACTCGGCCATGGGGCCAGCCCCCTAAATCCTTGTTAATTTTGATATTTATTTTGAAAAGTTATATTTAGATATCAGCTGAATACGTAATTCGACTCTGTTATAGATAGTTGATTTTAAACAGAAATTTCTAACTACTCCTGTATGTTAGAGCTGAGAGCCATGGCTAATAATTGAGTATTAATTTCATTTTGCTCAAAAATTAGCAGAGGTATAATGCCAACATGAATGACACCAGTTTCTCCTTTCAAGAGAAGTGGAAAAATGTTGTGGCAAACTGCCTGGCAAGGATTCAGTATGTTTTATCTGTGGAAGATGAATGTCCCAAACCAGGCAAGAGGGGATGGAGAGAAGGTGGCCAAAGGAGCATAGCTTTTCCTTGCTTTCTCAAATCTACAAAAAGAGACACAGAGAGACACTCTCAAAGAGAGGCTTGCAGAGCCTGAGAAATTCTGCGAGAAAGAGAAAACTCAGAATTTTTGAGACTTCCATATTCCAGGTGTTTTACCTACATTATTTCATGTAATATAATAGATATTAGCCTTTTCCATCTTACGAATGAAGACCCTGAGGCCCAGTGGGGTCACAGAGAAGTCTCAGAGCCAATGCTTTGCACAGCTGGACATCGCAGCCAGGTCTGCCTGTATGTGAAACCCAGTGCTTTCCTCTATTACCGTGCCCCTTGAGATCTGTACCGACAAGTGTGGGCAAAGAGGAGGAGACAGAGGGACATAGAAGGAGATGTCTAAAAACAAATGCTTTAGGTTCTCCCACACACCTGCTCTTGCTTCTTTGCTTCCAAATTGTTGGAAAGTTTTTAATGGTGGGGGCATTATTAAAATTTTAAAAATTATTTTATTTTTATCAAAGTAATAAGTGTACAGTTTAATAAGCCAAGTGGAATTAAAAGTCACATACTCAGAAATAGTAGTCCCCGCTCTTCTGTACTGTCCTTTTTCCCCTTCTCCACCTGCTAGTCCCACTCCCAGAAAATCCCACTTTCAACCAAAAAGTTTCTTTTTCTGTTAACCTTCATGTTACTAAATAATGTATTTGTATTGCTGCTTCTTGATATGTCAGTTTCAGATATCACCTTTGGACTTTCTATTATGGTAAATGAAGATGTAACTCGTTTATACCACCCTGACTTCTCATGCATTGTCAGCAGTGTAGTTCTATCACAGTTTTTTACTTAGGAGCAAGTATTCATATTATTGTGATTAAGTAAATATTGCTTAACTCTGCGCCATATATTATACTGTGATTATATTTGGTTTTTGTCCAACTTTTTCTGTTTCCTAGAGTTAATAATTGCCTTGGTTTTTTATTTGCTTGGTTTTCTGTCATCATTTTCCTCTAAATGCTCTGGCAGATGTGTCAAACACCTGTCAATGTTCTTTTCTAAATACTCGAATCCTTCAGAAATCTATCATATCCATTTCTTTTTTTCCCTCTGTCCTGTGGCTCTCATCATATTCCACTCTAGACTCTGTTCTGTTGGCCTGCTACAAAGCTGTCATCTTGGAATTCCTCCCTTTATCACACTTCCGTGTCAAATTCAGGGAACAAGAGATTTCTTGGATACGGTATTATAGTAGAATTTTGTCCTTTTTTTTTGCTTACCCAGCGTTGAATGACCTCCCTATGTTTAAAGAATTTCCAACGTTATGAGTCCTGGTGGGAGGCAAGCAAACCTCTTACTCTCAAAGCTGAAAAGGTCAGCTACGCAGTTTCCCAGCCTCTTCTGCAGCCAGAGTTCAGGCAGGAGACCGAGGCTCTGCTAATCGGAGGAACCCTCCTTATACCTGGAACTGGGAACTGGGAACCTGAAGGAATGGGAACTTTGAGGAGTTCTCTGGAAGCATCATGGTAGCTGCAGGGCGACTACATTCCTGCCTCCAGTGTCCAGGGCTTTCAGGGTCAGTGGGCTGGCCGCAGTGTCTAGACCTTGGTGCTTACAGCATTGGTGTCCCCACTAGACTGCTCTGACATATAATTTTGAGTGTTGTCCCTGGCTGCATACCCCTGGACTTGATCCACTAGCCTTTCCAGCTATTCTTGGAGGGGAGGCTGGGAAATATCTTTTTAGTTGGTCATATTGCTGCTTCAACTGATGTTGTGTGTGTGTGTGTGTGTTTTCCTGAGGAAGAAGGGGACGTTGGGTAGCAACTATCACTCTGTGCCACAATTATCCTGTTTTTAATTTCCAAGGGCTCTTGTAACCTGATTTGTCGTTATCCTTTTTTTTTTATTTGATCATCATCTCATTCTTGTTTTATGAGTACAGTGCCCTATCTTATCTCTCTGGTAACATCACTTATTCTCCCTTTAAAGTCTTTTTCTGCTCCTTTTACTGTCCTGTGTTCTCTGAGTTCTTTTCCCTTTGGCTTGGTCTTGCTCTCTCTTTTATATTGGAGCCTTTACTAAAATGTCTGTTGGTCTTTTGATTTCTTTTCTTACTTAGAAGTGAAGTACTACAAAGCTGTTTAGAAGACCTGCACACCGGGCAGGGCTTGTTGAGGGGGACACCTCACTGTCGAATGATTAGGGAGTAAGCTCACTTTTTCATGAGAGGACCCCACATGTGACTATCTAGAGGTTTTTCTGGGGGTTTTCAGTTCCTCCAGAGAAGAGTCCTTTAATCTCTTGCCCGGGGGTCACCCTGATGGCTGCTTGCGTTCAGGGAGCTGAATGAGATAAGGGAGTTGGGGGCATCCCACTGTTGAGGGTACAGACTTTCATTTAATTCTCTGGTTTCCAGCTCTGTTCCCCTGCTCTCACTGTGCCTGGTGTCCCAACTCCACGCACTCTCTGGTTTGATTTCTTCACAGGAAACTCCCCTTGGAGAGGGAGTGTGGCAAAGGAGGAGTTGATACCTGCCTGCATGGGCAGAGGAAAGGGTCTTGGTGTCTAACTTTTTTGTATGCAACCAACCCCTTGCACCCTACCACTTCCCAGGGGCATAGTACTTCCTGGTCCTGAACGTTGCTGGGGTCTATGGGGGTGTATTGGGCTTCTCCCTGCCAGCACCCTCTCTGTATGCCCTAGACTTCATCCTCCTCTGCTCTGCTTGGTCTGTTACCGCTCCTCTGTCACCTCTCCATCTTCCAAGACTTGTTTTTATCCCTTCTCTCATTCTCCTCGTGTTTGTGGGTTTATGCCTGTTTAATTCTTTTTCTGTCTTCTCAGTGGGTTTTCAGGAGAGATGAGTGGTCAGTTTGCAATGTTTAATCAATGAAGTGGTCGCTACTGAGTTGCCCAATCTTAGAAATTGACCTCTCCCTCTCCTCCATCCTTACTGCCCTTACCTTGGTGTAGACCCTCGTGATCTAGCACCCAGACTCTTGTGAAGTCTCCAACCTGGACTCTTGCCTCCAGATTCTTTCACATTCTTTTCCTCCTTCTCATTGTCCACTGAATGATCCTCTAAAATAAAACTCTCATCATGTCTCTCTTACTTACAAACCTTAGCTGGACTCTAATACCTTCCGTTTAAAATCCAAGATCTTCAGTGTGATTTGCAAGGTCCTTTCCAATCCTGCCCTGACCTACCTTGCTGGCCCATGCACTGTGTGTTCCAGCTACACCCAGAAGAGCGCTCTAAACACATCATGTTCTTTATTCCCTCCTGCCTTTGCGTACGCTGTTCTGCCTTCTCAAATTGCTTCACCTCCCCCTTCTCCATCTGGAAAAGTCCGATTTATGATTTATGATACATCTGAGTTTTCAGACCATTTTCACCTCCCTCTTAGAAGGAGTCCCTGATTTCCTTTCCTGCGCAAGCATAACATTTAACTCACATGAATGTGTAGATAATTATCACATTGTTTTATACATTTAGATCACATTTGTTTACACATGTGTCTTCAGGCCTACTTGTCTGCCTGTCTTAAGGAAAAGAAGTTTTAGTTTCATTCCTTTGCCCCTAGACCGTGAGATTCCTGTAGCCACAAACCATGTCTTTCTACCTTGTATTCATCACAATACTCCCACACAGTATGTGACACACGACAAACAGAGGCTACTTAAATGGAGGAACAATTGAAGAAATATTGGCTAAAAGATCAAATCATCGATCAGTAAAGGAGAATAGAAAGAGTTAAACTATCCTAAGAACCTAATCTTTGATAAACCAGGTGCCATAAAATAATGAGAACCAAAGCACTATTGAATAAATATTGTTGAGAGCATATGGACCAAAAAAATTAAAGTGGGGCTGTATTTTATACCTTATATAGCCACAGATTCATTATTTATAACAGCTGTGCGAGAGAGATATTTCTGACTGTTGAAGGCATCATCAAAGACAAAAAGGATCTGATTAAATAGAAATAAAAAACATTTGCACAACACTGTGTCACAGAAGGAAATAATTATTCTGACAAACACAACTGATAAAAGCATACCTTCCAAAGCTTATTATTTTTAAAAACAGGAAGGTCA